ATAGATGCCCAATGCTTCATAAATTCCATTGGTACTCTTACTGGTATCGATCTTTGATAAATACAACCTATAAATAAAAACATTCACCGCAAAATACCTTCATTTGTTTGTATCTTATTCCCAGTTTTATACACCTTATCAGTTGTATCTCAAAGATTTATGAATCCAGAATTGCCTATCAAAACACTATCTGCTTTGATTTACACAGCAGGCTAACTACATTAGACTTCATAAACACTAATTTAGTTAAATGCTTACTTTAAAAATATTTCTGCATATATGTTGATCTGTCCTTAATGTATGCGTGTTGATGCACGTGAATGCACTTCATTTCTTGGATACAATAATAAATTTATAATCTTCAATTAAAGTATTAACTAGTCTATCACAAGGTCATTTTATTCATTCTTCTAAACACTAAATCAGCCTAATTAATTGGTTATAGAAAACAATCCATAAATAGACGTACTAAATAACATCTAAATAAAATCACTTGTTTATATATATATATATATATATATATATATATATATATATATATATATATATATATATATATATATATATATCAGGGTCTGAATCTCACAGGGGGGCGGGATCGTGGATGCACACTGCCACTGGGGAGTCCAATACTAGGACGAAACGGCCGTCCAGTGCTTCCAGGTTTTCTATGGTGATCTAGCTTCAATTGACTCATGATTTCAACTATATATATATTAGTTTGAACATTGACCAACATACTTATTTACTACTTGTAGATGTGGTCCATTAAGTACAAACATAACTAAAGATCAGTACTGAATTATTCTAAAATTATTTAAATGATTAATAATTGAAACTCCGCCTAATGAAATCGAATGTCTTTATTTCAATGATTTACTGCATTTCAGATAAATTTTCAAAGAAATCTTTATTCCTGGTTTTAAGACACTTGGTTAAAAATGAAGGATCTGACATAAGAAGGTATATCAGTTAGTCTAAATTCCCATACACACAAACATTGATATGCCATACATCAGTAAATAAATTATGGAGATTTACATGATAAGAAGAAAATGGTAACTAATTAACAAAGAGCGGTTTGAAAAGCTGGACCTCTTTACTCTGTCCTATCGCAGATTAAGAGGAGATCTAATTTTGATGTACAGAATACTGAGAAATAATTTTGGACCTAACTTATCCTCTCTTTTTCTTCCCACTAGATCGGGACATCTCAGAGGACATGGTAGGCGAGTAGAAAAGCCAAGAACGAACAAAATACCCGTGGCATACAGGTTTTCACACTGAGTCATCAATACTTGGAACCTGATGCCCGAAGCAGTGGTGTCTGCACCTTCAATTGACTCTTCCAAGAGAAGACTGGACACTCACCGAAGCATACTAGAAAAGGAATAACATAGGCCATAGGCCTTCTGTCCTTATTATACACATCTGAATCTAATTAATTTCATATGGAATGAGGTTTTAAATAATTCAAAAGGAATAATAAATAAGAACTTTTGTTTAAATTTGATCGAATAGTTTCACAATATTTGGTTACCGAGTTAATGTGAGACAATAAAGAGGAAGAATGTTGTATTTGTAAAATCTAAGAGAAAGAATTTGAAGTAAATTCAACGTTTCGTTTGGCAATCTGATTCAAGCTTTTTCAAGGAAATATTTACTTCAAATTCTTTCAGTGAGATTGTACAAATACAACATTCTTCCTCTTTAATTCAAATGGAAGTAGATATTTTATACAATTTTTTTTTGCAATTGGTAAGTTTAAATAAAGCTAGAACAACAAAAGTAGAAGAATAAGATGAAATTATCTACTTAACGGATTCTCGATGGCTGAATACAACCTAGAAACGATACAGCATTCTGTTAGGTTTATTGTTCTTGATTTATTTTTAGAAGTAGAAATCTGATTGAAATAATAATGAGCTAAGAATGATACATAATTTATTATTTACAAAGAAGATAAAAATGTAAATGCACATGTATCAGTGAGAATGATTTGGTCTCTTACTACTAAATATCTCCAAACATTAATCATGGATACTGCTTGAATCTCAATCTGGAATTCACTAGTGGAACAAAAACCAAGGAGTGCTAAATAATCATTTCAGTTCAGTTATGAGGCTTAATACCAATACAGATCATCAATAGAATCAATCTTGAAGTAGACTATATTACCGAAATCGTGAGGTAATCAATTGTCCCAATGGGACTCGAATCTACACTATTCAGTTTAATAGTCTGAGGTACAACCATTCAGTTATTCAGTTAGAGACTGACCTCTTGCAGGAATGAGATGTTTACATTGATGGTAACGTATGTTCAGTTTGACCAGAGAACATCCCCCTCTGTATTGTAGGTACGCCTTAGTAACAATTTCCAACTGGCACAAAACCTATGTTCAGAGATGTTCTGTCGACTACGTCGAATCACCTTACATCAAGCATAGTGCACGCGATGTCGAGTCATTTAGACTAATCGTAACAATATGACTTGGTCGATGGAATTCTATGAGCACTAGATACTAGACAAACATAACTTCGATTACTCAGTGACCAATTGATGTAGATTATACCACTGTACTGTTGGTTATTATGTTAAGCCCATATACCCTATTCTAGCTTTCAGACAGACTAATCTTTGGTAGAGCCTTTTATTTTGTCGTCATTTAGACTGGACGATGTTCGTTGACGGGTTCGCCACTTTAATGGCCCGAGTTCTGACTCCAAGTAGATCATATGAATGTTTGTTATCGCCTATCCTCGTATATAATCATCAATTTAAATCGCGTTAATCAATAATGGAATTAAATAAGTCAAATACGAGAATGGACTTTTGAATACATATACTTTCTATATGAAGCGAATGAAATAGAGCGAAACTAAACGACGAGCAGTGAAGATAGTTGGTAAGCCCACTCCATTTAGTCAAGCGTTAATCAATATTTATAGTCACACAAAAATAGGTTACAGACATTTGATCAATAGGATAAGAAGTGTACATACTTATATGCACTTATATAAAAACAGTGAAGATTGATAAGCGAATAATAAACAAGGTGAGAATACAACTCAAATAGAATGAATAGATTGGCCTGTTCGAAAGCCAGAATAAGTTATATGGGCTTAACATTATAACCGACACTACAAATCTATCCATTCTAGTTGAGCGACATTTTGACCTTATTAATTATTCGCTTATCAATCTTTACTGTTTTTATATGGGCGCATATGTGTGTACATTTCTTATCCCATTATTCATCACATATCTGTAGCTTAATTTTATGTGACCATAAATATTGATTAACGCTTGTCTAAATAGAGTTGGCTCACGAGCTTTCTCAACCGCGCGTCATTGCGTTTCGCTCTCTTCTCTTCACTTCTCCGATATTTTGTCTGGATCAAAGATTGTATGAAATATACGTATTTGACTTATTTAATTCCGTTATTAACTAACGCGATTCAAGTCGATGAGATATACGAGGATAGGCAACATATATATTTCGACGAACATTCATACAATCTGATCGGAGTCAGATCCCGGGCCACTAAGCCACTACGAAACTATTTTATTAATGATCTGTTTAAGAAATGCGTGCCAAAATATACTGATTAATTCCAACACGAGTCAATCCGAATATGTTTGTCCCAAGTCGAAAAAAAATAGGCAAACCATCGGACAATAATTCAACTACTCAATTGTAACGTGTTCTTGACCAGTAACCAAATGTCGATGACTTTATTCCACATAGAAAAGCTAGATGTTACTCTCACTGTTAAGAATTGTCTAATTCTGTAAATATTTTGTTTGACAGAGAGATTCGAATAATAAGTAGTATAAAAAAGGGTGCGTCCCATTAATGTTATCTCTAATTCTTATTAATAATAATCACTAAACAAGAAGCATTGAATAGTTGTTTGTTCTATTATAGGACTCCTTTGTAGAGTGAATCCATTATTTGACCAAACCTAGGACATTTAATCTGGTGCACGAACGCTCAACCTCTAGACCAGTAAGCCGGCATCTAACAGTGTTAATGCCTAACTTCAATCAATCCACGATATTGCGCGACCATCTTTCATTGGCTGTGGTGGATAACTGTCTTATACCCGACTTGGTTGGACTCCACTGGTCACAGTTTCTCACTAGAATTCCATGAATTTCCTCTCAGTTTGTGCACAACTATTAGTTACTATAAGGGATTATGGTAATCGTTGGATCTTGCTGTTACAATCACGTATTGATCTGGATCAATTAGTATAGGGAAGATTGGTGGAAACTGTTTCTATGATACTATTATACTCTTTATTAAATAATTATACTTGGAGTTAATTTCACTACAGAGTCAATCAAAACTGATACATTTGCTTAGGCAAAACGATCCAACTTATAGCAGAAAAAACTATAACAATAATTCTAATAATAGTAATAACATCAACAACAACAAATCCCTTAGTATGTTTGCAAGTTTTTATTTTACAGAATGGAGTCATGTGAGCTGGATGACGATAATATGAAGCTAGACTGGAAAACAAATTTCCTCTGCTGGTTTTTTTCTCATGCCACTTTGTCGTTGTTGTCTTTAATTTGCTTGTATGTATGTGTTTTATATTCATGTGCATATGTATATTAGTGGTTGTTCAGTTTTGCTGGTTGGTTGGTTGGTTGACGGCTTGGTTAGTCCGATAAGTGTTTGGTTTAAAAAACCTCTAGCCCCAAGACCATGGATAGGTTAGACACAACCAAAACAAACAACCGACCATTCAACACACCCAGGCATCAACCATCAATAGACTAACATAACAGACTGCCTTTGAATTGATTGGTCGACGTCAATAATGGACCATAGAAAATAAATCAATAGCTATAATTCAAATTTCACTGTCTGCATAAGAATACCCCAACACCATCAACAATTATATGAACCTAACTATTGATACAAATAAGACAAGTGATTGATTTTTATGGATTGTTAGAATTACCTAAAAGAAAAAAACAGAATGACCCCTTATCCTCAAGGGAATCCGGACACTCCAAATTGCAATAAAAATGATTCAACATTAATTTCGAACGATGTTGATGATGATTACATAATACACACTTCATCCATTCGACTACCTTTTATTGCTGCTGGATTAGTGAACGCTGCAGTCGCTGAACTGTTAAATCAACTATCATGTCGATTCTTTGAAATGGCTATAATTACTTCAAAAATTGCAGACAGTCAGAAAAATTCTTCAGTAAAGCAAAAAGATCAAGAAGATATCGACAATGATGTGCAAAATATATACAGTAATAGTAATTCATCGATTTTTCCACAAAATGAACGACTTACTACTACACAAGGTCAATCAGAGTTACAGAAAAAAATGCGAATGGATTTAGATAATCTAACTGCTCTATCACCTGACCAAATGCCAACTTTACAACTGAATAATCAAGATGTATTCACCACTCCGCTTCACCCTTCTCATCCTGGTACTATAGCTGTTTCATCATCTTCTCCTCCCATATCATCGACGATTTCTTTGTTTACAAGCTCTTCAGAAAATTGTAACACTCTCTCAGAAATAATGAAGATTAAAGAAGAATCAGAAGTGGGATATCCACTAGAATTGAGCATTGATCGTGGAGGAGATACTAGTAATAATAAAAATGACTATTCTACACATGCCAGTAACTTTGTAAGTAATCAAATCAATAATCAATATCAATGCCAACAAAATCATCAATCTAATTTAGCACGTATTGCTACAGTGGATTATTTAAAACGTCATCCTTGTACTTATCGTGGTTGTGGTAAAGTATTTTTCAGTCGAACAAGTCTTATATATCATAAACAAAGTCATGCAATTGAAAAACCATACAAATGTACATATCCTAATTGTGGTTTAACATTTTGTAATGAGGCTTTATTAAAAACTCATATACAATTACATGAACCAAAACAATTACGTGAACGTTTCTCATGTACATTACCAGGATGTAATAAGGTATTTGTTACACGTGAATGTCTTATAGAACATATACGTATACATACTGGTGAAAGACCATTTATTTGTGATTATCCAGGATGTACACATCGTTTTGCTAGACGATGTAATTTATTCGCTCATAAACGTGTACATTTAGATAAAAATCAACGTCGTCAATATCATTGTATACATGCAGGTTGTGGTAAAACATTTTTATATTCACGTAGTTTAACTGAACATATGAATGTACATTTAGGTGAACGTCCATATGTTTGTGATTATCCAGGATGTGAAAAAAGTTTTACAAGTAAAAGTTATCTTTATGCACATAGAAGAATACATTTAACTGGTATAGATAAATCAATCAATGCTACATGTTCTTCATCATCTAATAATCAACAATTTGATTCTAATAATACTTCTACTACTACTAATAATAATAATAGTAATGTACCACCAATACCAGTTAAAGTCACTATACCAGTTCTTCAACAAATTCATTATCCATTTCCACAATCAATTTTATCCAATAAACAACAACTTCAACATCATCAAATTCAGCATCATCAACATCCTCAACAACAACCTCAACAACGTATTCAATCACAATTACAACATCCTCTTTTAACTCATACAAATATTAATAATATGACTAATAATATATCAGCTCATTTATTCTATTCAAATCAACATAATTAATCATTTAAAAATTGAATACTGAAAATCAATACGCGCGTTCATTTAACTAAACAAAACTTTACCATTTTAATTATTGAACATATTCTTATCATTATAAAATAAATAAACAATGATTTTAAAGAAAAAAAAACATATCGATGCATAATAATATGATACTTTTAAAATATGTCCATGTTTTTCTTTCTGGGGGTTTCCTTGTTTGATATTCGTCGTTTTTCCTTTTTTTCTTTTTCTCTTTTTTTTCTTTGTTTGTTTTGTGAGGGGAAATATAGAAAAGATATTTCAGTGTGAAATTGATCGATAGTTGCTTTATTATGGATGATACTTTTTATAATTGTTGTTAGAAGAATTGGTTATTATTATTTATTGTTGTTGTTCAAATATATAAACATTGATATAAAAGGGCACCCAAATATGTATGTGCCACATAAATTATTGGTTTTGTGTGTGTGTGTGGTAAGGTACTTTGTGGTTGCCCAAGCCGAAACAGGTAGTTTTCTCAGAGAACCACTCCCTGAGACTTTGATCTAGAGGTTTAATCAAAAAGGCAGTGGAGCAATATTAGAAGATGCAATCCGATGTTGGTCGTTGACCAATTACATGTTTGTAAGCCATTTATTCCTTCAGGATCCTGGAGTCCATGTGTAATATTGATTTAAAATCACAGTTTCTCAACCCCCCTAAGTGGATCCTTCTTACTTGCCAATTCGATTTTTCATTTTCTTAATTTTATAAACGGCTATCGCGTTATGAGAAAGCAGTAATTTGAACTCCAGTTGTAGTGGCCGTATACGTGAGGTCATATGAAAACACTTCGAGAGGTAGGGCGGACACTTCCTTCCCTCGACTGTACCAGGATATTTGGAGCAAATTTCTGGTAAATTATCTCACCTTTGATGGTCAATCAGTTAAAAGTCTGTTTATTTGTTAGTTACTGGTTATAACTGTTTGATGTACAGAAAATGGTATGTGAAATTTGAATGGATAGACATGTTCAAAAGAATCGCAATATTGTCGACTCGTAGTGGTTGATACATATAGGTTATTCTAACTTCTGGACAGACCAATTTATTCAATCTATTCAAGCCACATTTTGAACTTGTTGACTATTATCTTATTGATCCTACTTTTTTTCACATGATCGTATGTGTGTTAGTTGCTTACCCTATTCATCACGTGTCTGTTACTTGTTTTTCTCTGAATATAAATATTGAGCCACGCTTGATTAAAACGAGTTGACTAACTCGCCTTATCCACTACGCGTTACTTCGTTTCGCTTCGTTTTCTTCACTATGCTTCTCTGTTTGTTTGTCTGGATCAATGTGTATGAAATACATGTATTCGAAATTCATTCTCGTATTTGGCTTATTTCATTATTATATAACGCGACTTAAGTCGATAGTTGTATATGAGAATTGGTGGCATGTATATTTCGATAACAATCATCATATGATTTAACTTGAGTCAGAGATCGGGCCACTAAAGCCTGTATATGATTAACAGCATTGAATTAGTCAGTGTGTGTGAATATTTACGATTGTATTGTATACGAGTGATAAACTTATAGGTGTATCGAATAATGTAGTAACCGAGATTGATTTTTGAGGGACTGATGAAACCTTGAAACACAGGAGAATATCATACTAAAGGGAATAAACGACACTCATCGATCACTGGATAATAACCAATATCATGTTATTTATTCCTTAGTATTGATCAAGTTCCATATCAATACAACCAACAAGGCCAAATGATTCAGTATCGCAGTGCATTTTGTTTGTTCTAGGCGGTTAGAGTTAATAAACAGGAAGTTCTGAACACCTGGATTTTGTCCTAGCATTTGCGTTAAAAAAAGTCAGTCCTCATGTTATAACGTGTGATCCGCCTATTAGAGAGCAGCCTATTATCGATCGAAACAGTGACGCATAAAACACGAGCGAGCAGCCTAGAGCTCTGATTGGTCCTGCTTCCCTGTCTAGCCCAGCCAATTGAGTCCAGAACACAAGTCTCAGCCTCGGAGATATGAATCGTTATATTTCAAACATACACTGTTTATATACCAAACAAACAGACTACATCGTACCATAAAATAGAAAGTAACATTTGTACAAGATTTAACCTTCAGGGAATGACACAAATAAATACCGACCAATAAGGAGATGACACGTTGGAAGAATGTTGACCAATGGGGAAATGACACTACTTCTCATTCAGGAATAGCATTAGATAATTTCTGGGGTATTTTCTGAATACCCCAACACCTCAATATCCAAAAATCACAATCAAAAACTCTAAATTGGTCCATTAAAATCGAACTTCATAAAGCTAAGCTCATACTGTTTTCATCTAGTTCCTATTTTCCTAATTGTTACTTCACCATGTAATTATCTACTTCATCTCTATTAACTCAATTCTCCGTAATTCATCTTTGTTTTAAATAGGAGAAATGAGGAATTTTTCTTCAGACAAAACATACTCTACTTCATCGTATGCTTCATTCTGAGAATAATGATTTTCAGGGGTGACCGTGAAATAGCCGAACAAAGAAAAGGAGACGGCAATCATACTGATTTAAAAACATTAAAATATAAGAATGAGCAGCTCTTCATAATCCAGAAATCTAGGTATAAAATTATATATGTGAAAGACAAGAGTTTACAGTTCGAAAATCGGATAATCAGAATAACATACTAATCTGACTTGTATACTATACAGCACAGAAATCTGTGTAAATCTGGATCATCTGTCTAGCTTATATTTGTTTGGCATACGATATTTAAAAATTTGAAAATAAATACGCGTTGCTGAGGGGTCTCATACTAGAACGAAACAGTTGCCCAGTGTTCCCTCGATTTTAATAATTGTCTAAGATCAATCAATACCTGGTGTGAACTATAAAATTAGATTGTCTCGTGATAAGAAATAGAAATTCAACCATTTTGTAAGATCACTACCCACATTAGGAATAATTTTAACTATACTATGAATTTATAGATTAAATGACGATCATTTAAATAAAGTAATTCTGCTTTTAGGATATTCCAGTTAAAATTTTCTTTGTATTTGAATTTAGTAGGATCAAGCAAATTATAGATATGTAAGCTAAATCAATATGCAAATATTTCTACATTTAAGAAAATTGTAATAATAGTATTGGAAGAAACCTAGTTATTGGTTGAGGTGAATAGTTCTCTTCATGAACTAATATGTCTGATTAGTTGTGAGTGGTGAAGTATATCCTTATCGAGATTGAAATGAATATGATCAATGATAGTAGCTAGCTTACTGGTCTCTGGTCATCGAGTCTTGTTCTCGTTCGCAGATTAAGTGGCCTCGTGATAGCTTCAAACCTAGCAGATAGTCATTAAATTATACTATGGATTGACTGAAATTTGTAATGTTGACAGTTGGGTTCTGGGTTAATGGTCTTAAGTTAATGTATTTGTGAATGTTTGTAAAAAATATACACTTGAGCAATTAACATAATGCTTTAAAATGTACGGTTATTTCTTTATCCTGAAACTGACTACTTTTTTGAGGTCTTTCAATTTCAGCTTGAATCTTTTGCTTGATTGTTTCAAAACTTCCTTGTAACCAAAAAACACCATTGCCCATAAATCTCATTACCCTAGTTTTTTACGCTATTTGATAAATCATCAAAATACGAATCATTAAGTTACTGACAGTGTATATCAAAGAGTCATATTCTTTAAGAGAAACCATTCTCAAGAAACTAGAGTCCAGTTCCATCACTGGTGGTATCGCGTAGCTGAACAGTCCTAAACTAGGATGAACCCCAATTCTCATATTCCGAATAAACTAAGACTTTTTACATTTTAGTCAACATGTGAATATAGCCACTAAATTAAATGAACTTACTAACCAGGTGCATGGGTATAAGAGACACTATGAGTATGAGGACTGACGATGCCACCTGGTTCCCTGTATCAAAGTAAGTGGAATAGAATTAGAATCAGGGACTTAGTGGTTGAAAGTCAGATGACTTAACCGTGAAGACGCTAATTAGGATTCTATGTAAAATATGAAGTACCTTAAAACGCCTACTAGCAAATGATTGACACTATAATGTTTTCTAACTGGTGAATAATTATAACTTTTGATTAATTTTAGGTAGGCAATGAACGTAGACATTCCGCATCGTCCTCAAAAGTTATAGCAGCTACATAGCAACTGATCGTATATACTTTTGGCAGAACTAATGGATGTTAACCACTGAATTAAATAATTTAACAAATGTTGATATTTTTTTAATGGTTAGGGTATTTATGACCAGTTAAATTTATATATTCCTAATGTTGACAGAAAGAATCGCAATGATCAGAAAGTCATTCATATGAATGAGGTATATTAATATTCTTAGAATAGAACCTGAAGTAACAAAATAGTTTTCATCCTGAAACGATGCCGAGTAGATGCCCTTTCAAGAAAACGGGACGGACTGGACAACCCTTTCGTTAAGGTTCAGGGACTCTCATAAGTGTACACATGTGATCTCGCAAAGACTTAAGCTCAGGATATTCAAGTTAAGTGAATAGGATGGAATCTGGAGGTTAAAATTTCTAAAATTGGTTGCTAGGATAGCATTTAAACGGCATTCAGTAATTGTTTTTCAACACTAAAACTGAACCTAAATTGAACCATTAGATTTCAACTAACCAACCATATGGGTTCCATCCAGAACGATACCTAAATGTACTAATTTTGACCAACTTCTGAGTTATGAGGAAGTAAGACTGAGAAATCCCGATCTAGGCTACAACAACTCTCCAATGTTTTCCCGATTACGGTGCTCCTTTGGATAACGTCAGTGTTTAGTAACAAATATCTCCGAATTTAATAAGCTTCCTCATACAACTGACTATAAGAGATTGATGATCCTTGGTCGGTTAGCCACGTTGACCGATACATTTACTAGCACCGTTGATTATAAGTTAAAATACATTTGTCTAGTTGATGAAAAACTTTTTTCAGTCTCAAGG